GCACTGAGTAATAATTATCCCACCTGTATCCTGAGCCCAGACCCCATGCCCTTCTCCTCAAACGGACAGGCCTCGAGCTCCCGCTCTTTAAAGGCAGACTCCTTCTCTGTGTCCTCCACAACATCACTGATGAGACCAGCAGCTTCCCAAGCAGTTTCTCAGCCTCAATAGCCTTTAGCCTGAGCTGGGTGACGTTGGGAGAGGGAGAAGTCCACTGCGGAGGAGGGAGGAGGGGTGGTCATTGCTGATTCACGCCTAGAAATATCCCAATGCCGGGGACTCGGGCTTTCCTCCTGGTTCTTCCACCTGAACTCTTCCTCTTTGGTATCTCAGCCTCGTCCTCATCCCCTCAATTCACCTCCGACCTGGAGCAGGCAAGACCCCAGACCACTGGAGAGGAGGAGCTGCAGTTACAGCTTGCACTGGCTATGAGTCGAGAGGAAGCTGAAAAGGTAGTGTTTGCTGTCTCTCTCCTTTGGGGCTGGGTGGGTCAGGCCCACAAGAGATTCCTGAGCTCTATGTCACCACATTAACACGTGCAGGAGAGTTTTCTTCCTGGCTGCTCCCCACAGATGCTGTGAGTCAGCAAGTCTTGGCGTGATGAGGATGCACGGCGCTGCCGATGCACCACTGGGACACGGTGCGCTCAAGTGAGCCCACCTCCTTGTGCCGTGGCGTGCACTATTCTGCGCCTCTTAAATCAGTAGCAAATGCTCCTGGCGAGACAGAAGCCGTCCCTCTAAAGCCTTTCTGCTCTGTGGGTGCCCTGGAGTCCTTGTTTTCCCCAAGTCATCAGGTGCTTGCAAAGAAAGTAAGAGGATACAGGTTCAGGACTTACAACAGGCTCCAACAGGTCCTATGTAATCCCCCCGCTCCAAATCCACTGGGTGAAATTTGACTCGATTAAACCTAAAGGGTGGTCTTGCCAAGGACTTCCGAGCTGCCTGTTACCTTTCCAGAGCAAGTTCCTCTGCTGTGATTGCTTTACGTGTTTAGGTTTGGAGCGGAGGTACCCAGAAAGTTTCTGCTGTTTCCTTGGCAGATACCATGGACTAGCTGCGCCCAGGGGGAGGTGGGTTCTCTGCACAGGGATGGCTCTGTGCCTTCGTGACACCAGCTGGGCTTGGGTTACTGTTGTGCTGGTGTGTGCATGTGATCCCCGTCTTTATTTGACTTGACTGTGTTCAAATCCCCGTGGATTATTTAAAACTATGCTATGCAAAGCTCTGGAAAACACTGTAGAAAGCAATTCTGCGTTGGCCAGGGCAAGCAGAGGGGAGGGTGGGGGCACCAAATGACCTAATTTGTCTTCTCCATCTTTCTGTTGTATTGATTGTGTCAGTCAGTCCCAGAATCCCTGCCCCAGTGCGTCATTTATGTACATTCCCTCCCCACCCCTGCCCCTCTGCAAGTCTCCTATCAGGCGATCTGCTTCTCCCTTTCCAATGGAGATGGTGTGTTTACACACATG